AAGATATGACAAAATAACAATTTATAAATTATGAAGGGTTCATGAGGGAGGGAGGAGCGGGGAGGGAGGGAAAAAATGAGGACTGATGCCAGGGGGCTTAAGTGGAGAGCAAATGTTTTGAGAATGATGAAATGCGCTTGACACATTGATGTATGTATGGATTGTGATAAGAGTTGCATGAGCCCCTAATAAAACGATTAAAAAAAAGTAAAAGAAAAGGCTGCTGCATATGCCGGTCAGTTTTGCCTTCTGAGGCTTGGGGCTCCGATTTTCCAAAATCAACTAATAAAGCCTCGCTGTTCTCACTAAGTGGGTCCAAACTGGATTTCTTCTTCTTTTTGTCAGTTGAAGTTCTTCCTTGGGACTGGTGAATGTGCAGGATGAATGCCCAGATCCCCCGCTACCTGGGCTGGACTGGTTCTCCCAGCACCACACAGAGAGCCCCAACACACCGGTAGCAGGAGAACCACACACGGTGGCCTAACAAGGAGTAACACATCTGCCTCCGGCCCAAACTGACTTCTTGGGCGGTCACCAGGGAACACTGGGACCTCCTATGGGATAAGGCAGCCCACCCCAGTGCCCCTCAAGGGTATGGGGTCCAGTCCTAGCCAGCCTCACACCAACTCGCCAATCACTAAGGACTGAGAAGGTAACGCTTCTCACAAGAGTTTCTTTGCAAAATGTTGGGCTTTGAGGCTAATTTTTACACTTGACTAAAGTCAAGCCTGAATCTTGGCAGCCCCGTTACCCAGGGGAGAGCCTGTCATTACGGTTTCCTCGGCTATCATCAAAATAGAAGTAGATTGCCAGATCTCTTCTTCCACGGCACCAAGTAGTGGGTTCCTACCTTCAGCCTTGGGTTAGCAATCAGACACACCTAGCACCCTGGAGACCTTACCCCAGTCCTCAGCAGTACCAATTACTCACAAGGCTATCATATGTTATAGTGGATACAGAAGAATTTCAAAATAAAACATTACTAGATTTACCATTTTGAAATCCCATCCAGAGTTGTTTGTGATCTTTTTTCTGCATTTCATTGATAACTTGACTTTTATGCTTTAAAGCATCAGCTTCTTTCATACAAGACATAAAATGAGCTTCAATTGCATCTTTAGAGGGGCAGTGCAGAAGATCCTTTTCAGGAAAACTCTGTCAAAAGAAAGAAAAATCACACATATAAAACAGGCAAACACACTAGCAAATAAGTTTCTTAAAAGGAAAACTGTTTCACCTTAGTTGACTAATGTTTTTTTAACAAACATTCTCTTACCTTTCACAGAAAGATTTCAGCATAACTCCAAACATTATAAAAAGAAACTTACAAATCTTTAATTTGTACTTTATCTGAGCCACCTTTATTAATTCATATGTGTTTAAATAGGGAAAAAAGGACATTAAAGGGTAATAATTTTAAAAATCATTTTTTTAACTGAACATACCAAATGTTGACAAGGATGTGGAATGGAATATTCAGGTGCTGCTGGTGGATATGTGAAATGGTACAAAGAAAAGACAGTTGGATAATTTCATGAACATGTTAATATACTTCTATATCTGACCTCACCATTTCACACTAGGCATTTACCTAAGCAAAATGAAAGCAAGTGTCCACACAAAAACTTGTACATAATGCTCAGAACAGCTTTATCTGTAATACCAAAGCCCCCCTCCCCCAAGCAATGACAAAATTCCCGAGGTAGATGAACAAATAGTGTGTAAATGACGAGCATGGCACCCAAATCATGGCCACCCCACACACAGCATGATGTCCAACTCTTGTAGGTCAATTTGACCTTGGTGAAACTTAAAAAGGTAACTTTTCGGTTCTAATAGCGGCTCCTGCTTTCCCTGACAAACACCCTGATCCAATTCCTGGCCAAATCATCTCATGCACAGCTACATCCCAGCTGCTACCTATCAGTGGAGGCTGGCATGTTCTTATTATGCTAAGCAGGCTTCAGAGGACCTTCAGACTAAAGAGACCAGGGAAGAAAGGCCAGGATCTCTATCAGTCAGGGAAAACCCTACGGATCACACCAGTACAACTCACGACCACCAGGACATCAAACCAGGCAGCACTGTGTCCCACTTAGTGTGCACGGGGTCATCGGGAGCCGATGGCTGACTCAATGGCACATAACAGCAGCAGCAACAAAGTCAAAGAGCTAAATTCAAACCCTAAAATGTTCAATGTTTCTTTTAGAAAGGTAAGTTAATAATCATTGAGCAAATAAGCAGTTATGTAAATGAAATAACTAATTCACTTTTGGTAATAGTTAAAACTTACCCAATACCTTAATATGTGAACAAACCGAAACCCACTGCCGTCACATAAATTCTGACTCACAGCTACCCTGCAGTATAGAATACAGCTCCCCTACATTCTCCAAGATGCTTGGAGACGGACTGCCGCATCCTTCTTCCCCACAGAGCAGGTGGTGGGCTCCAACAGCTGACCTTGAGCACGAAACCACTGTGCCACCAGGGCACCTTTGTAGGTGACATTGTATGAAGAGTTTTTATATGGATTAGATCCTTTACTTCTCACAGAAGCCCTTGAGGCAAATGCTATTATCCGCATTGTGCAGGCAAACAAAACTAAGGCTCAGAGAGTGAAGACTGAAGCCAGTCTGTCTGACTCTTAACCACTCAGTAGGTGCTCTTCGTAAGAACCCCCAAATGGTTATTCTCTTAAAACCTTTATAAGAACGGAGTTAGATAATAATGGCAGCCCAATCACCAACTCAGGCTACTGTCACAGACAACCTTCAGTATCATGGGGCTTTGAGAGAAAGAACGGGAGAGGGGAAAGGGGACAACGCTTCAGCAAGACTAGGAAACTTACAGGAGATGCCCTCCTATCCGGGCACCACCAGATCACCTATGGAACTAATATCGATTTTAAAAATGCAAACAAGCAGAATTAACCCTGGGGGTTAACATTCAATAATCCCCATGTCCGCTGCCCTGTTCTCACCTTGTTTTGTTTTTCTGAAGACTAAGCTCCAGTCTGCATAGTAAACTATGAGCCTCTACACACACAAGTGCCAGTACAGCAGCCTGGAGCAGACGCAAGGACCCAAATTAATATGGAATCTATTCACTTCTCAATAACACCACTATCACTTTCCTAATACAAACTAACATCTATTCTGACAATTTCCAGAAAAATCTTCTAACTGGGTCACACACCTACATACTTGCCTTTTTAATTGGCTTTTCACATTTGGAGCCACGGTGCTCTGCCTACAATGTTAATCTGATCTTCTTCAAGGAGCTCTGGTGCCATAATGGCTGATGAGTTGAGCTAATGGCAAGGTCAGCAGTTTGAAACCACCAGCCACACGCTACAAGAAAAAGATAGGGCTTTCTGCTCCCATGAAGATCTACAGCCCAGAATACCCAAAGGGGTAGAGTGATGCCACACTCTATAGGGTCTCTAAGTCAACACTGACTGGATGGCAGTGAGGTCCCCTGCCCAAAATCTGGGTTATTTATATCTGCGTTACATTTCTCCAGCATAATCTCTCACTGCAACAAAACTCTCTCTCCATAACCTTGACTACCTGTCATCTTCTCAAACACTTTCAGTTCTCTCAGCCACTCTCATCTCTGTATGTTTTCAGTTTTCTCTGCCTGTCACACTCTTACCCCTTGCAAATCACTCAATTACTTGTGCACAAGAGGACTTGTACACAAGTTGGTCGAACAACAGAATGAAAAAGACAATGAAATCTTTCCGTGACATTTTCAAAGGTCCCTTATACTTGACCAAAAAAATCCTCCCAGCCTTCAGGTTCAGCTTCTCTGGGAAATTTTCTCCTACTTGTTCATCCCTCCTTCTTGACTCGACATCCACATAAGACAGTGTTACAGCACTTCACTCACTGCCATCGAGTCAATGCTGACTCATAGTGAACCACTGTCACTACGTAACTTTATGGGAGTAGAAAGCCTTGTCTTTCTCCCAGGAGCTGTTGGTGGTTTTGAAATGCCGACCATGCGGGTCGCAGTCCAACCTGTAACCACACCACCACCAGGGCTCCACCTATTATTATGCTACACTATGCTGAAGGAGCCCTAGTGGTACAGTGTTAACACACTGGGCTGCTAACTGCAAAGTCAAACGTTTGAAACCATCAGCCACTCCGGAGGAGAAGGATGGGGCTTTCTAAGCCCCTTAAGAGGTACAGTCTGGGAAACTCGCAGGGGCTCTTCTTCCCTTCCCCACAGGGTCACTATGAGTTGGCATTGACTCAATGACAGTGAGTTTGTTTTTAAGGGTTTTTTCAGTACGGAAGCTACAGAAGGCATTAGCCAAAACTGTTCTTCCCAACTCTCTATAACTTCTCTCAACAAATGGATTTTTAATAAATCAACTTTATTGAGAAATTATTCATGCACAATAAATGCAGAAATGTTAAGGGTACAATTTGATGAGCTTTGACACGGTGTACCTATCAGGCCACATAAGATATAGCAGGGTATATTACCATCATTGCCAGAAATTTCCTTAGTGTTCCTTTGTAACAACTTCCTTCAATCTCACCCCAACATATTTTGTCTGTAATAGAATCTCTTCAACTGAGATTACTGCACTAGGACATCTGGGGAAGGGGGGGGACTGCAAAAGCTGATGCTCACATTTTGGATATAGTTAAGTACAAAAGTTTTTAATTGCCAAGGGGTGTTGGGTAATTTGGGAACCTATGATCTAGCATTTCTCCTTTTGCATGTTTTTGAGATTTGCCCATGTAATACACCTACATCAATAGCTTGCTCCTTTGCATTGGTAAGCAATATTTCACTGAAAGCATATACCACAGCTTATTTCCAGATATGGATTATAAATAAACCATCTATTAACATGCAAGTCTTTTTCTAAATTAAAATTTTCCCTGGATCTATATCTGCAAATAAAAATGTAGGGTCAAAGAGTTAAGTATTGATTTAACCTTATTTAAAAGCTGTTTTCCAAAGTAACAGTACGATCTTATATTCCCAATAGCAATGTTGGAGCGGTCTGACTGCTCCAGGCCCGCCCCTGGTACTCTGTCCTTTTGAGTCATCCCAGTGAGTGTGACTCAACAGCTTACTGTAGTTAGTGTACTCCTCCATGACGACAAAAGCTGCCATGCATCTCACTAACTAACCCCTCACCACAAAAACTGCCAAGCATCTCACTAACTCCCTCACCACAAAAATTGCCAAGCATCTCACTAACCCCTCACCACAAAAACTGCCAAGCATCTCACTAACCCCTCACCACAAAAACTGCCAAGCATCTCACTAACCCCTCACCACAAAAACTGCCAAGCAACTCACGTGTGGCCTGATTGACCATTCAGATGTTCTTATCTATGAAGTGTTCACTTTTTTATGTGTGCCCATTTTAAACTCTCACTGGACTATCATTAAGTTGTAAAAGTATTTGGGGGTTTGATGTTACCATAAAGGAGATCAGTAAGAAAGGCAGTCTATTTTCATTTTAAAAAACCCCACCCTACTCTGCCACCCAAATTTTGAAGTATGTCCATGAGTATGTTTTGTGTATACTTAAGTGGCTGGGTCAGTTGGCTTCTATTTTCTTTGTTTAACCTAGTTCTCAAAGTTTTTTGAAGTGCATTTCAAAAGCACTTAATAGTCCTATTAGGCAATATGGCACCTCTGCCCTCAGCATATCTGGAGTAGTTTAATGTCCACACCATCTAAATGTAAATTACTGTAATCCTCACTTTGCACGGCAGAAACTAGTGAACACTGGAACCATGTCCCCACTCTGCGGTCGTGGAACAAATCCGTGGTAACATGGTACCATGCACAACATTTTAGTGAAAATGCATAGGGAAATGGGCTCCAAAGTGTCACTGAGTAAAAGAAGAGGAAATTGGTAATAGTGTTATCAGTACTTTATAATCACTACCTCCTTTTTTTAACACAAGCTAAGTACTATACACTAAGATTTTTTAAAACTTAAATCTAAATATTGAACTCAAATTTCCAGAGCCCCAAGACTCAGAACATAAATCACTTGTGTACTAATATAAAATATTTTCTATTCCATACATTAGAAAGTCTTTTCCTCATAATCTTCATCCAGTTAACTACTTTATTCTTTAAAATTAATTTCTCATAGGTTACTTGTTTAGTGAGGTCTGCAATGATTGACTGACTCTACACTTAAATGTCTACTGCCCCCATTAAGAAGTACTGATGGAGCAATGGGTTAAGCACCAAACCGTTAACCAGAGAGCTGGGGTGGTGTGAGCTCTTTTAAGCCTATTTTATTGACTTACACATACTCAACAGTTAACACAATAGCTGCATAGAGTGAGAGCTCAATAAAGAAGGCAATGAGAGAGCTCCTTACCAAAAAAGGGTGGGGGAGGAGTGGTGGTGGTATAAGGAGATGGGATGTGTATGTCAATATCTAAATACACAGTTGTGTAAATAAAATAACTTACAGGTAGAAAGGGAATAATTAGGTTAGGCAACCTTTACTGTTTACAGGGGACACAGATAAAAGATTCTGCTATCAAAATCAAATAAACAGAAAGATACACAAGCCACTTTTTCCTGGAAACTGGTCTTAGTTTCTTCTAAATAAATAGCTAGCCCCCTTATCCTAAGGAAAGCTAACTATCTGTAGTTGGCCAAATTATAAAAGGAATTTTAGTTTTGCTTTTTATTAATCCATCTTCAAATCCCTTTAGCCAACATATCAACTGTATGTCATCATTCTTATTGATTTGATTACTGACTTCTCGAGATCTGGACTTAATAAAAACTAAATTCTTCCGAAGAGCATGAAAGTCCCAATGGTGACCTAAATGCAGACCTGAAAGCTCCCTTATGACTTTCTTAAGGGAGCATATCTGTATGTAAGTTTCAATACTAGTGCAAACTGCAGACCCTCCATGCACCTGAAGCTCATCTGTATCAAACAGCATCGTTGCTTGAAGAGGAAAATTGTACAACCACTACAAAGTGACACTCATAAATTTTTGTTAAGGTGACTCCAGCTGTCAAGGACCTACTCCATACGGAATTTTGAAATGTGTATTTTTCAGTTTCCTCAGCTAAGCTCCTTTACTGGCTAAGGCCTGCCAACAACTCCTTTTCCAGGCAGCCTCAGTGACCCACAAACACAATTTCCAAACAGGAAGGGAAGCATCATAGACAGAATGGTGCCCAGACTTTGGGGCAAAGCCACACACAGAAATGACTTTTTCACTGCCCTGCTCTTACACACTACGGGAACTAATCCTTTTCAGACGAGACTTATGCTCTCTTACCATTTTCTCCATTCAGTCAAAACAGCTTTAAAATTAACTGTTACTCTGCCACCTCTCCCCCACAACTCTCTCTCTTTATGCTATACCAGAGTTTGCTGTTATAGCTGAAGGCGGTTGTTGTTGTTTGTTTTAATATAAATGTTCCAAACGTTATAAATTCTAAGCATATTGTATTCAGCTCAAACAAAAAGATGTTAAAATTTAAGGGTCTAAATGATTCTGCCAAAAATTAGGAAGAAACTGAAAGGTAACTTAAGGGGAACACTAATGGTGGCTTAACAACTAAAAAGATTTGTGGGATTAGCAATGAACTCTACTTTTTAAAATGCTAGTCTAAGTCTCCTCATTAATTATTATCACAAGTAGGTGAGATTGGAAAGTCTATTTAAACTATACCTTAAAATGTACAGTGATGTTCCAAGGAAGAGCTGAACTTGATGCAAGAAGATCAAATAGCAAACCAATTGGGTAATGCCTAAAAATGAAAGAGTATATTTTAAGAAAGAATAAATATTAAAGTTATAACTACAACTCCAATATAAATTTCCAGCACACTTTAATACAAACACTAGGGCCTACAACTTCAAATCACAGGAATATAGTATCTTACACCATTGTAGCCAAGTCTAACCTAGGATACTTTGCAGGCAACAGGTGTGTTTTTCCTAACCACTTCTCACATAGCTTCAATATACATGATGGTATGTGCTAAGGTCTAAAGTGTACACTTTAAGATTAAAATAGAAGTATCTAAATATCATACTGGAATTCATATTGGCCAGTAAAGTTTTAAAGTTTATTTAACTATATTTTTTATCTTAAAAATAATATTCTATGAAAATGTAAGATCCAAGAGGGGTACCTAGAAAGTATCCCAATCACCTGTTCTATGTTATTACTGTTAACACTATGCATATAAATTTCTAGTCTCTTATCTGTATATACCTCTCTGAATTGTTTCTATTACAAATTGCACAACAATCTGTTTTGCAATGTCAATATTTTTCTAGTTCACTGAATATCCTTCTGTAGCCTAATTGTAAAGATTTTACATAACCATTACTCACACTGAAGCACTTACATAGCAATAAACAAATGTTAATATGACAAACCTTTAAATAGACACACTTTGAGTGCGGCAGCTTAATTAGTAAATCAGAATTAAATAATACTCTCAACAAAAACTAAAAGATTTGACCAATCACAGAATGTGACTCCTCAATGAGAGGTGCAAACGTTTTAAATATTATCTAATTTCCTCAAAATGAGTGCCCTAATATCTCACTTACATAACAGTAAACTATTGGTTAGTACTATTTATGTCTGTATTTTTCTATATCACATAACTGTGGGGAAATTAGCTCCTTAATAAGATAAAAGAGTGGGTAGCTCTAGTCTTAACACGAGGAAGCTTCAAAAAGTTTGTGGAGAAATCCCATTCTTTCAATTCCATCCCCACAAACTTTTCAAGACCCTCACATGTGTTCTATTTAATAACTCTTAGCTCTCCTCCTCCTCCTCAAAGTCAGCACCTAGCAATAATCCTCCAAAATTAAAAGAATACGAAAGAAAATGTCCAGAAAAGTCGTGACCTCAGAAAAAAACAGAAGCAAAGCTAATAAATAAAAAAAAATGTACTACAGAAATCTATCAAATCGTATTCTGGTTCTGCTCTCAGAATTATTAAAACTATGCAAGGCCTACACTTTTCAAAATAGACCAACTGCTTTGTGGTTGCTAGTTTATTTTTTGAACACTCATTTTAGGTCTCAGCAAACAGATTAAGAATGAATGTGGATCCTTAGTAAATAAGGTCTGACAGAGCATGCAGCTTTACAAAGTCTGTGTCGCAGTCAAATATAATTAGGAAATTATGTAGTTTTAAGCAGTTTGACAGATTCAGAGATTCCATTCAAAGAAATAGCTATCTAGTGCTGCACAAATTCTCGGTCAATCACAAATAGAACTATAAAGACATCAAATTTCATATACTACAGCAATCTAGAACGACATAAAATCGTATACTGCGGATTTGCCTCCCAACGACTGCCACAAAGTTATTGTCGAAATTATGCATGTCACACAAATTTTTCTGGTTTCCAAGTGCGCATAACAGTTATGGTTACGCTACAGTGCACCACAGGGCGGTTCTCCTCTGTCCTATAGGGTCCAGTGAGTTTGGTTTGGTTTGGGGGGTAGTATATTAAGTGTGCTGTGGCATTATCCAAAAAAGTATGAAACATTGTGAGAATAACTACAGGTTGACACAGAAACAAAGTGAACAAACACTATATAGAAAAATACTGATGTTTGGGGTTGTCACAACTTCCCATTTGTTAGAAAATGAAGTATCTGAAGTACAATCAAGCAAAGCATGATAAAACAAGGTATATCTATACAATTTTAAAAATAAACCAATACTTGAATCAGAATATGTGACCTCCCCCCGCCCCCCAAAATAAACCAAACTCACTGCCATTGAGTTGATGCCAACTCACAGTAGACTACCCTTGTAGGTTCCGAGACTAACTCTTTACAGGAGTAGAAAGCCTCATCTTTCCCCCATGGAGTGGTTGGTGGTCTCAAGTGGCTGACCTTTCGGATTGCCAGCCCAGTGCATAACCACTATGCCACCAAGCTAGAACATTCATAATTGTTCATTATTTTTTAACCTCCATACTGAAACTATACATGCACAAATTGCTACAATAAATCAATAAAAATTCAAAGAACTTTAAACAGTTTACCCTCGCTGTACTATCAGGATCCAAGGGCTCCAAGTTCAGGGAGGTAGGAAAGGAGGAAGTATGGAAACAAGAAACATGGGAAGGAAGTGGGATAAACGATGGTACACTGAAGGGATTACAAATGGGAGGAAATAAAATGTGTCCGAAATGTTGAAAGCAAAACTGCTCTGTAAACCTCCACCAGATTCGCAATTATGTGTACAGGGGGAAAAAAATCTAATAGACCCAACATTAGGTTTTTACTCTCCTTTTTGAGCAGTTCTGCTACTTTAAGACTTAAAACTCCATGGCTTTTATTCTTTAAAAAGGGCTTCCAAAGAACAAAGAGATAATTTTCTTTAAAATAAATTAATAAATAAAACCCACCCTATCTTGCAATGGCCATATGGGTCCACTTTATCAATCAAAGATGGATTATGTGATCTTAGTGATCTTATATTTCCTGTATCTTGAAACATTTTGCTACTTCTTCATCTTAAGAATTCATCATATTCAATTATTTTCAACTCTGCTAAAAAGACTAAAACATTTTAAAATGGCAGAACAATAAAATGCCTAGAAAGACGATACAATAATAAAGCAAATCATCACAAGTGCATCTTTTTCCAAATCCCCTAAAGTAACGCATCACCTTTTATGAATGTGTAAAATAAAAATCAAGACTTTCATTTTTAGAGTCTGGCGTTAGCTATTAACCTAGAATTTTTCATTTTCCAACCAAAACAGCAAAGTGAAGAAAACTGAAAGCTGAAAATGTTTTACTATCACGAAAGAAATCAGACATATGCAAAGAGACAGAAAGCAGCCTTCTAGCCTTTATGATGATGGTGAAATGGAGGTGAAATCCCAAGGAGTTTCAAATGATGGTATCCTAGATGAACAGATGAGTTAACAATATACTACATCTAACAACTCCCCCTCCCCCCAAAAAGGTGTATTTTTCTTACCCAATTAGTCATTCAACAAAAAAAGAACTTCATCATACAAGAGAGCTCCAAAAACTTTGTGGAAAAATCCCATTATCTTTCAACTCTACTTCCCCATGAATTTTTGAAGCCCCCCCGAGTACTTTTGAACCTCGGCAATTTCATTTTGTGAAAAATATGCATGACAGCTTTTCATTTCTTACATTTGTGCACTATAACTTACTTGATAAACTTGTACACAAAGATGTTTAAAGGGGACTAAATGGTATAAAGAGAAATCATTGTACTGATCATTTTAATTGGTGTTTACTAACGTAAAAAAAATTTTTTTACAATAAAAGCATGAGCTGACAAATTTTAAAAAGACTCAAATGATTGCTGCTAAATATGAGTCAGAAGAAATAAGTTAAATCTCTTACAGACTTGAAATCTAGAATTAATATCTAGAGATACATGACATACATTCTAGGTTAATGTATAACAATAAATTTGGTACATTTAAATGTTTATTAAAAATTCTAATAAAGTTGTTAAATATTACTCTTTTATACTTACTTCATTAAATGACTTAGAAAACATATTAGAAACTCACTGCCATTAAGTTGATTCCAACTCATAGCAAATAGGGTTTCCAAGATATAAATCTTTATGTGAAGAAACAACCTCATCTTTCTCCTGGGGAGCATCAGCTAGGTTTGAACCACTAACCTTGTGGTTAGCAGACCAACACCTAGTCCACATATATATTTTTTAAAGTGATTGAGCTCATTTGGTACATCATGATGATTTTTTCTATGGGTATACAGATTAAGATGGTAATTTAAACATTATAATTTCTAAAAATTGTAGTTAAATACATAAAGCATTGACATAAAGACATTCTGAATAATAGTGCATAATTATTCTATAAGTTTTTTTTTTAATGTAATTGGAAAAATTTCTGCTGTCAAGGTCTACAGCTGATATGCGATTCAGAGGCAGATGCTAATATTACATATTTTGATGCCAGGACACTAACTCCTAACACATGTATACCTGAATTAATTTGTGCCCAATTTATTGCAGATAATTCTACTAATATTTAAGAAAACCCACAAAAGAAAAATTGTTAAAAATGAAAAGCAAGACATTTCTGATACAATACAGACTGGTGTGAAGTCTAAATCTGCACAAGTTCTCTAGATATTCCAAATAGTAGTTACTTTTGTCGCGAGGCTACTAAACCTAAAACATGGAAAGCACATGAGCCTTACAGTAAGCGAATCAAAATACAGGCCCTTTGTTGTTGCACTGCTACCATGACCATCTAGCCTAAATTTAACTGAAAACAAAGATGGGATCATTTGAACTTGGGATATCCCAGAAAAAGACTTGATTAAAAGGTTTAATCTACTTTCCTAGAAAAAGAGGCTGCATCTGATAAGGTCATGGGGAAATTCAATTTTCTTTTAATTCTTTCTTCCGTGAACTTTCAGAAAGCTCCTTCATATAGTATTTATGAGTTAAGATTGTTACAGTTATTTAAACTTTAAAGAAAAAACTTTGCATATTTTCAATAAAACTTTTTGCTACAGATTACTTTTAAATCACATGAGTATGATATTAAATTCCAGGTCATTTTGATAGACATGTTAAAGATCACTATCAGGACATGTATGTATAATTCAAAAGGTCTCTTCAGCTTATTTTCAACAACCAGTCCTGAAAACACGACAGTTTATGCAGAATCATAACCTCTCATTAGAGGTGCTGGTTTTATAGTTGACAAAAACAAGCTTTTTCTAAATTCTTTATCAGAAAGCCCAGAACTTAAGCAAGACTAGTAATTACTAAGGAAATACTCTTTTAAAGCACAAAAACTGTTCTCTTAAATAACTCTAGCATAAAAGTAACCATATATAAATATATACATGTATGTATGTATGTCTTGAACCGCATCATCCCTCAAAATGTTATGTTAGAGCACCCTCTACTGACTAATCAACTCAAATCAGTCTAAAAAAATGATTCTTACATTTTGAGTAGAATCAGTACTATCAATTCCTTCAGGGTTTAAAGTTAAAAGTAAAGAAGCACTGTACCACACAGGGCAAAGTCAGAGTGTTTTCCTGGAGGTTCTCCCCAAATCCACAAGGATACGTGTATGAAGTAGACACATCAGGAGGGTCTAGTCCCTGGAGAAGGGCATCATACTTGGTAGAGGTCAGTGAAATGCAGGACGGCCCTCAATGAGATGGACTGATGATACACTGGCTGCGATACTGGACTGAATCAGCACAGGATTGTGAGGACGGCACAAGACCAGAGAGTGTTCCGTTCTGCTGAGGGCAGGGGGTTTCTTAAGCATTTAAAGAGTTCTGGTGCACACTTGTTGAGAGGCTACTTAACCCACCACCAGTGGTTCAAAACCATGCAGCAACTAGGTGGGAAAAAGATCTAGTGACCTCATCCCAGTAAATATTTCAAGCTATAACTCTCTGAGGTAATTCCACTCTGCCAGATGGGATCACTGTGAGTTGAAACTCAACCCAGGGGCACCTAACAGCAACAGCGAGCATTGAGGCACTGTTTTAAGCCCTTTGCATGTCTGAACTCATTCAATGTTTGAAATGAAAATTTCCCCATTGTGCAGGTAAGAAACTGAGACATGGAAACGTTTAAAATTTTGCCCAACACTATCTAATAAGTGATGGCAGTGGAATTTAAGCCCTGACATCTGATTTTAGATTCAGAATTCTTAGCTATTATGTTGCAACACACAGGGATAAAAATATAAGGATCAAATAAGAAGAGGCTTCAGAAAGTTCACATTACAATGGAATTAAAAGATAATACATTTTCCCCACAAACTTTTTGAAGCCTTCTTGTAAATGGTACATAGGAAGCATGTATGGAATGTAGAGATGGCACCGCAGTGGAAATGATCGCTTTTGGCTAGGAGAAATCATAAAAAGGATAACACTTTATAAATAACAATTCAGAGGAATCAATGAACAAGACAAAAAAAAGAAGCTGGAGAAGGCAACAGAGTCAAGGAAAAACATGTGGAAAGAAACAGAAGCATGAAACAGCATCCACTGTTCCTGAAAGAAGTAGTTTAGTTAAGCTGGAAAGCAGTGGGCATATGAAGGACCTCATGTATGCACCATGCTATTGCTTGGACTTTGCCATGTGTAGGACTCGAAATAACGTTTTGCAGAAGGGAGTAACAAAATCCGATCTGTTTTTAGAAAACTCACTTATGGTACTGAGGAAGACAGACTGAAGCTGAACAGTATCAGCAAGGAGACAAGATGCTAATAAGCAAACTGAGAGAGAAATTTGATGGGCTGAATCCAGGTAGAAATAGGAAATTCAAGATCTATCTAATATAGCAGGTAAAAAAAAATCAGACCTAACAATTGGGTACTAAAGGAATCAAAAGTGTGTTCTCTAACCATACCGAATGAAAGCAGAAATCAGAGCACATGGAAATTAAACAAGTAGAAAGAAAATTTTTAAAATAAAAGTGATGTCTTTAACAAAGCTGACAATAAATAGACACCACTGCACCCAAAAGTTGGTATTGACTCGATAACAGTGAATGACCCATTCTGCATGAGAAAGAAAGAAAAAATAAAGATGAATAACCTTACATTCGTCAATTAACAATTTTGAAGCAATTGGCGGAACCATTAAAAAAAAAAAAGCCACAAACCACCAAAAGTCCACCACAATCCAATAGATAGGTCATTTAAGAAACCCTGGTGCCAGAGCCTACTTATGAATGAGACCAAATGTGCTGCCTCTCTCTCAATCAACAGCAGCGACTCCCCCACTCTACTGCAAGCGCTGGTATAGCACAAGAAATAGAAATAAAAGGCTTACAGCTTGAACAAGAAGAATTAAAACTATCTATATTACCAGGTAACATAACTGTCTATACAGAAATTCTCCAAGAATCTAAAAACAAACAAACAAAACTCCTAGAATTAATTAATAAGTGTATTCAGCAGGGTCACAGCAAACAGTATGAACACACAAAACTCAATTGCATTTCTACATGCCAACAATGAACACACAAATCAAAATTAAAGCTGACCCTTTTAAAATATAGTTTTGCATGTCAACACAAAGACCTGTACATCAATGTTACCTACCCCTATACTGTTAAAAGACACTAGTACCTAATAAAAAGTGCAAACCCTACATATTTACATGGCTGCTGTTTTCCTCTGGTAATCACATCCTATTAAAGACCTTTGCTTAAATGCCAGAGATTTTTATAGTGACAGCCTATTTTAGGAAAAATTTCTTTTTAGTATAGGAGACAATGTAACTCCTAAGGGCAAAAAAGAAATGACTAAAACTTAGTACACAGATCCTAAACTACATTCAGGGTTAAGTTAGTTATTAACGTCTTAAATACATAATGTACCTAAAAATACTAAAGGGGAAAATGCCTCAAAAGTCATTAAATGTATGAGTAAATACCAGAACACAACTATGAAAGTGTTATCATGCATTAAAAAAAATACCTCAAAACTAAAATCAAGATACTTGAATTACGTACTTTCACGTAAACTCTCTAAAGGTAAATTTCATTTCATTTTCTATAGAGGTGCATTGAATAATAATTGACTACACCAGGTTTTCAATAAGACTTTCAGGAAAGATAAATAATGAAAGAATGGGAACTTGATTCATGTAAGCCAAAATCAATGTTCTGCCATTAAGAGAGAAAGGCATTCAGACAAGATTTATCTAAAATACAACTTGAGGGGTACAAACCTATCTAATATAAACATGAGTATGATACATGACAGAATGAGTGGCGGCGAAAAGGTGACTTGGTAGTCATTTACTACAGTACTATACTGATGTCTCCCACCTCCTAGCAGTTCTCAACCGGGGGTGGTTTTGCCCTGCAGGGACAGTTGGCAATGTACGTCAACATTTTTTGTTAGCAACTGGCAGGAGTACTACTGGTACCATGCGAGCATTACTGCCAAGCATCTGATAATACAGGCTATTCCTGTCCTGACAAAGATAGATCTAATTCATAATGTCAACAGTGCCCTGTGAAAACCTATATATTGATAAAATTGATAAAAGCTGCTAATTTCACAAATTGATTGTCTCTAGCTAATACAAGCTGAGCAATATAACTTTAATATAACTTTACTATAGATACTGTTGCTGTAGGGTGTGATAAAGTCGGTTCTGACTTAGTTGACTGTGGACAACAGAAGGAAACACTGCCTGGTCCTCCTCCAACAAGAGAGAACTGACAAACGCTAACAAATCGCTGCTGAGCCCGTCAATTCCAACTCACGGGGACCCCATATGTGTGCCCCATAAGGTTTTCAATGGGTATTTGTTAGAAGCAGATTACCAGGTTTTTCTTCCACAGCACCTTCTGGGTAGACTTCAGTTCAGAGCCAACTACATTAACTAATTGCATTGACCATGCACAGATATAACTAGCTTGTTAGTTCACTTTTTGTAAGCTACTCATCCATACCTTTTCCCTTCCTTCCCTCCCTTTCTCTCTCCTCCTGACCCTGGCTCCTCTTATACTTAAGCTACCTTCTCACTCCAAAGCCCCCCAGATCTTTCAAAGAAAGCAGCAGAAAGCATTCGTATGCTCTATGCTGCCTGAGCTCTAAAATTATTATACAAGGGTTATAATGAGTTGATAATCAGAAAGCCTAGTATTCTGTTTGGATTAAAAAACAAAACAGAAAACATTAAATAAGAACCACTTCATTCCTTCCCAGGACCACCTCAAAAAAGTGAGACATAACCCATAAATGAATACAAAATATCATCTCAAATGTTTCTTGATCCCTATGTAAAATCTACTCCTTTGGGGTCTACACAAGTCCAAGGTGAGAGTTCAAAAAGTTCACTCTTCTTGTTTATAATATTCCTTGAAGTCAATTCAGCGGCACTAGTGCAATACCTATGGCTTCTTTTACTTGTCTTACTATTTCTTGGTTTTAATGGTCGCAGATCCAGAGAGCAAGTCTAATTTTAATCTATTTGTATTCCTCACAAGTTCATGTGAATATTGTCTCAGTCCGTACCTTTTTCATTCGACCATATTTATATGGAAGAATGTCAATACGTTGCTTTATTTTTAAAAATATTCTCCCTATAATTCATCCAGATTTATTAAATATTTTAGTAGCACAGGAATTGAACCCTCTGCAATAAAGTACAAAAGAAATATCATCTGTATATGGAAAGCCCAGATTTAAGGCTTACTCATATTCTCAATAAAAAAAATATAAATTATTTTTCAAAAAAGGGATAAAAACATATAATGTACCAAACGTATACAAGGTGTGCCTGCAGCAGGAAGTTTGCAAGATGTCATTCTAGGTTCTGATCTGTTTATAAAGATCTATTTGTACACCACTATGATTGTGCCTTATAAAAGAACCCATTGCTGAACACGCATGAATCTGTTTTGTTACACGCATCCAAACAGAGGGCAAACTTTTTTCAACTTAACGTTCTGACAATGATAGTAGCTACGCCAAGAATCTTCCGCTTTGCAGACACTGGTTCTTACCATTGTTTCTGGACACTATGTCTTGCAAACCCTAGCCTGCACTCAATGCTCAATAGTGCAGAAAAGTCCACTCACCATTTCAGGGGTGTGCCTTCATATTCAAACCACATCTCACTAATGTCTTCTTGTCTCATAACCTTCTGAAAGTGCTTTTTCACTTTGTCAGTTACCAGCGTCAGATAACTCACTCTTGGCAGAAGCAACTGAAATGAAAATTTATAAGACCATATTTACTTAGTTATCTTTTCAACAAATATATACAAAGCAGGTCTGGGAATTTAAAAGAAAACAGTCATTTTGTTTGCAATATTTTGAGCGTTCAACACAAAATCAATTGTTTTTGATAGAAAATTAAAGAGGTATTTTTAATTTTCTATGGGGTCATTAATTTAAGTACAGTTTACAGAATAAATGCCTAGAATTAACAACAAATATATCTATAGTCTTCCTGTAAAACTTTTCCAAATAAAAATATAATGGTAATCAGTTGACATACTATATAAGACAGTTAAAACTTCAAATAACTTTAACTTAAACTAATCCAACTGAGTTAATGCAGCTATCTTAGGAAGCGATTTAGTCCTGATATTTGCCTTGACATATCAGGCCTTCCCAGGACCCTGTCTCATGTATTGATTTAGTTGTAATGGAGAAGAACACCAAGACAAGACTTACTTCTATAGGAGGGTAAAATAAAATGGAGGTGGAAAATACTTATAAAAAGTGCTTATCAAAATACTTGGTGGCAGCAATAGAATGGCCTTCAAGAGTCAAGCAAATTTTCATTTGATGTAAAATAATGCCCACCAAGAAACTGAGCAGAAGGATGGTATGACGGGAAAACAACATGCAGGTGGCAGTTCTACAGCTGTGCCTTGAAAGACTAACAGAAGATGAGCTTACAGAAGCAAAGAGAGGAGGCCTGGAAACATGGACGACCTAGAAATGCAAGAGAAGGGTAATCATGAATGAAGAAAATGAGAGGAGGAGGAGTAAGGCTGAAGCACACGATGAATGCAACTAATGTCACTAAACTGAACTTGAAAGAAATGTTGAAATGGGGTGGGAAAAGATGAGGGAGTTAAGGTAGAGATGAACATCTTTTGAGCTACACATTTAAATCTCCAAGCTCTCATAGAAGTACAAGCTTAGGGTATGAAGCTGGTAATTCACATAAACAGCCAAAGCAGATGAAGCAGGAGGAAACACAAATTCACGTGTCTGTTCCCTTCCAGTAGGCGTTGCAGTCATTTCTTATTTTCCTAAGCCTTCCCCTTTGCTGGCATCAACTGTTTCATTGTTCTCTCTCAGAACCTTTGTGAATCTAAACCCACACCATTCTCAATACTGCTTATTCGGGGTGATGTCTTTTGACCAGCAAATCAAGTAGAATCACTGAGCTGGCAAATGTGCACAGAGAAATATGCTGGTTAAACCAACTGGATGTTAAACAGTGAAAACCAAGATAACAGGCACTAGGGCCAAGGGTCACAGAAGTCTGGAGAAATCATAGTAGTCGGCATGCTCTGGTATGTTAAGAAAGATACTGATGCTATGAACAAGCTCTTGGTTAGTATTGTGGTTTCAATAGAACACATGTTCCTCTTTTTTAGAAGGCAATGATTATGAAAGAAAAAAGGAAATTACTACAATCTAGATATAGGGGGGGAAAAAACCACTGGATGATTTTACAGGCACTATCACCTCTATTTTATATATAGCTTAAATTAAATTACTGGCCAAAATTAAATGCTATTAAATTAAAAGCAAAGAAAACAATGTGTGGAAGTCAGGAATGTCAGAATCAAAAGAAATGTGACATAGAGATCTTTAAGACAGCATGGCAAATTAGCTATTTTTAAAAATCATTTTATTGGGGCTTGTACAACTCTTATCACAATCCATACAGACATCCATCGTGTCAAGCACATTTGTACTTTTGTTGTCATCATCATTCAAAACATTTTATTTCTACTTGAGCCCTTGGTATCAGCTCATTTTTCCCCTCCCTCATGTGCCCTTGATAATTTATAAATTATTATCTGTAGGCAACTGGACCTCCCCTTACAGAAGGGTTGCAGGGAGGAGATGAGCCAATCAGGGCGCAGTATAACACTGCTGAAACATACAACTTTCCTCTAGTTCTTTAATGCTTCTCCTCCCACCCCCACTATCATGATCCC